TCACGTTTGGATGTAAACAATATAGTATCACTGGTAGTTAACAAACGATCAATGTTAGCATTAAAAGAAGAATGTCATCTAAGTATCAGATTGATAATCAATGTTGGCTTTTCAAAATCCCAAAGCAGCACGTACAACAACACACCTAGTCCAAGTATGAACTTTATTATATCGTTGCTCTGCTGTAGTCCGTGGGTTCGCGTACGGTATCGTAAAGCAAGCATTTATGAACTGGCCACAGTCTCCTAATAGCCACCCATCTCCTATAGCACCATTCTCAGAGTGTGGTGAAAGCAGTTATTTAAAACATACACGGCAACTGTAAAAGAGGCGGAAGAATAGGAATATTTCCGCAGAGGAAATTGACTTCATAATTTATGAAGTGGGACAGAGAAAGAGGACTCTTTGGAAGTTTTGCTGGCAACTTGGCAGCTGTAGTTAATAAAAAGACATGGCAAGCTGTGACTAAAGCAGTTAATGCCGTATCCAGCAAGCCACAAACTCAAGATGAGGCGAGTGTATGGGGGTGTGTGCGTGTGAGGTGATGTGAGTGTAGGTGAGGTGAGGTGAGGTGGGGTGCGTGTGTTCAACTTTCATGTCTGCCAGGAAAAACTCAACCCTATCTTTGCCTGATTTGGCTGGTTCCTTAGATGTTTACATTACTCAACCTTTTCATGACTGACCCTATGGAGCGTTGTTTTTCTCTGCCATTTATGTCCCGAACATTAGCTTTATCATTCAAGATGTAAGATCCACACAGTAAATGATCAGTGTGGGTGTCACTGTGTGTGAACGCGTGCGCGTGTATGATGATGATGGAGATGTACCAAAATGCCTGTTTGTGCGTACGAACGTAGGTACGCACGATATTGTGCGTACGAACCGTTCTAGAATCCGGCCCCAGTGGCCATTTCCTTAGATGACTTAGACATGGAGTAAACATGCAGAGTTTGTGTACATTCTATTGGTGTAGTGCCAGCCAACAGTTAAAAAAGAGCTCAGAGAGTGAGAACACCAGGGAGGACAGTGAGAATTCTAACAGCTCATTAGTACTCAGTCACTGAATATGTTCTTTGTATTACTGTAAATAAACCATTGTAAAAATTCCAAATTACAGTCTTATTTTTTTAAATGCTGCAGTATCTGCGGAATGATGTGGGTCTGTAATTTGCCTGGCGGGCCTGTAAAATTCCTTACCTACAGGCCCGGTGGGCCTGTAAATTTTCAAACTAATTTCTAACCCTGAATTTAGAATCTCCTACCGTGAGATTAATTGAGCGTTATTTAGCGGAAAAATACAAATTGAATTTAGAATCCCCTACCGTGAGAGTAAATGTGTGTTGTTTTAATCGGGAAAGAACAATTTAAATTTAGAATCCCCTACCATGAGAGTAAATATGTGTGGCTTTTTAAGCGGGATAGCATAACTCAAATTTAGAATCCCCTATACCGGGGAGAATAAATGTGTGTTCTATTAAGCGGGAAAGCATAGGGCCTAATTTAAATTTAGAATCTCCGTCATAACGCATGCGCAGTGTGTCTGTTTTCAACTTACAAACAATTCTCAATGCATGTTCTCACGTGTTTACATTCTTCCCTGTGTGACCCTTGCTTGACCTCCATCTCTAGTACTATATACAATACGAAATTCAGAAACTCGAAAACTCCGACACTCAAAAAGTCGTATGTCGTTTCAGGGCTTCCATATGGACGACGTCCACGAAATTTTTTTCGGTTTTCGGAGCTTTTCGGTTTTCAGATAATAGATTGTGTGCTGTATATCATATTGTTTACATGTGATTCTATAGGCCCAATCCTAGCTTAGCACCCTGGATTAGATTGACACATTTGCAAAAACACGTTTGCGGGGTTTAAAATTAGGATTGTGGACTATGGACTAAGATCACCATCCACGTGATATGTCATTGTCATATGATGATGGTGATACATATGATATGATCAGTAATCCAGTTTATAATATTATTATGAAAAACCAATTATAAAACTAAGTGATAAATGCAGCTGCATGTCATGACCTAAGTGATGATGCATTACAGACATGCATCTAAACAGAGGAATTGCTCTGACCTGTGATTGGTGGATAAAAATAGAATTCGCATGACCGGTAGGAAAGTGTACCAACTATAATATGGCGCGAACGAAATGAGTTACATTTCTATAAATTCTAGCTGTTATAGACACATGTCTTAGCTAGCCTTAACCTCTGTAAATTTTGAGTCTATTGAAGCATGATTAGTCTTATTAATTAGCAAATATGCACGTGCGGTATCGCTCATAGGCTAATACGTGCGGCTACGGGTGGTAGGAAAGTGTACTAACTATCATATGCGCGTATAAATTCTAGCTATTATAGTACATGTCTTAGCTATGATCCCTGTGAGTCTGGAGTTTATTGAAGGGCGATTAGCTGAATTAATTAGCAAATATGTACGCGCAGTATTGCTCATACTCGAGTCAGAGGCTAAATACCTAAATGAAAACGTAACATCACAAATTCTATTTTTATCCACCAATCAAAACTCGGAGCAATTCCTCTGTTTAGACGCATGTCATTACAGAAGTTACAGTATACCCCCAGCAGCTAGTTACGCTCATAGGGTCTATGTCCCCCAGGGTACTGCCAGAACGTAACCTGGGTACGGTCTGGTATACCGGAACGTACCCTGGTAACTATCGCTGAGAGGGTCTATGTCCCCCAGGGTACTGCCGGAACGTACCCTGGTACTATCTAATATGCCGGACCGTACCTCATCTACTCCACTAACGAGTCCAGGGAGTCACACACTACGTCTACTCCCTAACCCTAACCCTATCACTAACCCTATCCATATCAAATAGTTACCAGGGTACGTTCCGGTATACCAGACCGTACCCAGGGTACGTTCCGGCAGTAACCTGGGGGACATAGACCCTATGAGCGTAACTATCTGATAGTTATATGGTTAGGGTTAGGGAGTAGGCGTATGCGACTCCCTAGACTCGTTAGTGGAATAGACGAGGAACGGTCCGGCATATTAGATAGTACCAGGGTACGTTCCGGCAGTACCCTGGGGGACATAGACCCTCTCAGCGCTAGTAACGCTGAGAGGGTCTATGTCCTATGTCCGCCGCGGGTACTGCCGGAGGGTAGCGGTCCGGTATACGCGGGAACGTACCCTGGTACTATCTAATAGCCCCGGACGCGTACCTCGCCTACTCCATAACGAGTCTAGGGAGTCGCCTACACCTACTCGCCTAACCCGAACCTAACCATATCAATAGTGACCAGGGTACGTTTCGGGTATACCGGACCGTAACCAGGGTAACGTTCGCGGCAGTACCCTGGGGACATAGACCATATACGCGCTAGTAACAGGGATATAATAATTAATATTACAAGCACGGCTACGCAAAATTATTAATATTATGAAACTACAGCAATGTTTACCAGAGTTTTACAGGGGAGTGTGCACGGTTCGGTTCAGCTGTTGTTGACGTACCTAGTAGGCCCTATTAGTAGTAACCTACTCTCGAACTCTCTCTCTCTTACTCTTACTACTACTACTAGTACTAGTAGTAGTACTACTACTAGTAGTAGTACTAATTCTACTAATTCTAACTACTAGTACTACTAGTACTAGTAGTAGTTATTCAATAATTGCAAATTTGATGTTTTTGCTACTGCGATCCGCAGTGTCGATCAACTGTCTCTTGCGTCTTCGATACTTGGACTTTGAAGACTAATATCACAGACCAAGAATATGTTTAGTCTATCCATAGATGATTTAATATTTATCACGTTTTGATGTCAACACCAACAACTGGAGGCTGACATCATGGGGTTAAAG